CTTATGTTTAATGATGCAGTTGTATATACGAGTTTTAAGTGGCTGTCTTTTTCTGGAAATGTTATTAATTTATGTTTAAGCTTTATTTGTACTCTATCACCACTGCTGTACCTCTAATTTTCGCCCGCCTCGACTAGCTCCTGCTATTTGCGGGCGTGAACGGTCTTCATGAACACGAAAGTCTAAATTAGATCAATAATAATTAGATTAATTAAATTAACTAGATTAATTTGTAGTTTGTAATTTGTCATTTCCTATTAAGGTTTCTTCTTATTAAGCTTCAATAAACTTCAAACTTCAATTAGAGAAATTCATGAGCTGGTTAATTTACAGCAGTCTATTTTTCATCGGCACAATTACTGGGAAAGAGGAAGGAAGAAAAAGCTTAGCGCGAAATTAAAGTTTAAACGATCACAGCCAGGGTTTACAGAGGGAACTCATACCTTGAGATTTTACGAGCCAAAACGCATTTGCAAACGTTCAACGAAGATCAGAAAACATGTGTAAATGATTCTGAGTGTACGTAAGCTGAGTTGATTTTGAAAATCACAAAAAAGAGCTCGGTACTCGAGTTGACATTCATCGGTCGATGTTGTTGACCGGTGAATCCTGACGACAATTTTAAACATTTCTTCAAGTCACACGAGAGGATCTCGGAAACTTCGGTTCGTTTTCGGAACACAAATCCCACAAGCCGTAGTTTTGCAGGTGTTTGATAAAGCTGCGAAAACAATTTTGTAGCTACACTCTAAAAAATATTATTAGAGCTGATTTTTCACCTCACGACACGAGATATTTTTACCAGGTAGGATATGTTCGCAATGAACTACTTAATTCCACAAAGCTTGTCAAAACCCCTAGCTCTGATCAGCAGCTAGCTTTGATCAGAAGTCATTTATAAAAGAATGGCTACTTCAATTTAACTTCCAGTTCCAGACGCCGGACTAGCTCTCCATGTACCAAGCCAATTGCATAAGTTATTATAACGTATTTTGAAGGAGTTTTCTTAGACCAGTTTTGGGAACAGCAATAAAACGTTATTGATGTCGGCTTCTGAATCCGAACAGGCCTTCTTTATTCAATTTGAGTCGATTTCAAGAGACTATAAACTGTTTGTAATCTCTAAGTCGGTTCAGATTCTCCTAAATCGCGCCTCATTTACTGTTCTGTCGACTAACTATTGTTGGTCATAACATTGACTACCCGTGAAAGATGCAAATGAAGAAGTTCTCAAACATTGTCATTGATCAAAAGATTTCTTCGATCGTCAAACCATTTGTTCCAAAAGAATTTCATCATGGCGTAATAAAAGGTGGCTTCTCCTGCATTGACCACTATAGTAACTGCCTGAAGGGCGGATGGGGTTCGTTGAAAGTTATTCACCCCTGTTACTTGGAAAGCTGCTTGCGTGGACATCAAGACGAAAAGGTATAAGTTCTCCACGATAAATAAAAGCAGAGTTACCGAGTATGCCAAGTTCTTTACGGTGTCTCTGGGTTCCCTCCATGGTGCGGGTACAGTATTCCACAGATAAACTACCAAGGTCGTTGCAACTTCTCCGAGAATGAACATAAATTCAATAATTTTACTTACTCTAGATGGTTCTGTGCAGATGACGATAATGTTGTAACCAACAGCGACCATCAGCTGCGCGAAAAGCGACCAGAACCGGGCATGTCTCGAGTTGTTTCGAAGAGCAGAAAGATATCCTTCATAGGCTGGTACTTTAAAAAGTACAAGAATGACGAGCAAAGTGTTGATGAACGAAGAGATCTGCCAACTTATCTCCAGTTCATTTGCATGAGAAAAAATTGTGAAGTTTTGGCAGCGATAACTCGCAAGCTTTTCCCGGAAAAAGCAATCTGTAGCGTGAATGCTGTATAGCACTAAGCCGATGAATCGCCACAAAAGAAGGCCAAAATATATTAACATGACAGCAACCTTAAAACAAACCTGACAGCAGCGAAGTCGCTCGTTCGCTTCCTCTCTCCTGTTATTCCCACATATCTCAATATAGCCTGTACCATCCGCCATACTGATCAAAACGAAAAGGTCGAGCAACTGAATGCTTGTGATCATTCGATGGTCAAGTGTTTCTAGGAAAGATGCAAACCGGAATTTCATGAATGAGTCAAGCTGTCGGAGGAGGAAATAATTACTAGTCAGCATTCGGGGAACGCAAAAGCAGAAAACCACAAGTCGAAGTTGGATATTACGAGAGCAAAGCCTTGAAGGTGAGAATAGTTTTTATGCGTCTACCGTTGGCAGGAAATTATTTACCACCGGTTTAGAAGGCCGCGGGGGGGAACACAAGTTGGCGGCGTTCAAAAAGTAGAATCCTCAGTTAAGTTAATAACGAAGCTATAAATTTCCGTCACAACGGGTATCATGCGTAAGCGTTAGAAAGACTGATTCATTCATAGTAGAACCCCGTTAACTCGGTCTTTCAAGGGAGAAGTTGACCGGAAGCAGGAGCCCTTTTGTAGTGTTTGTTCCCATTTGGATAAATACCTGAGCTATTAGATAATCGGTATTTTGTTGGTTAACACATCTTCGACTGCAGTCACGTGATTATCCTTGTATCATTATGCATAATTAATAAATTCTACGAGACTTGCTTGGAAGTTGAAGTTTGATTGGAATTCTATCAGGCATCTACAGAGAAGAGATTACACGAGATGCGCACGGTTGGTCATCCCTCCAAGAGGAGTGACCGCACAAGGCCCCATGACAAAAGAACACAGCATAACAAAAAACAGGGAGGGATTCAATTAGCAATGGGTGGGCGTGTAATCTCTGAGCTGTAGATGCCTGATAGAATTCCAATCAAATTTCAACTTCCAGGTAAGTCTCGTTTAATTCATTCATTCTGTCAGTCATCTACCGAAGAGATCCCATGAGCTTTTAAAGTCATGTGGTCACCCAGGACGTCAAAACTCAATTCATTGTACAGAACCAAAAACTTGCCTGCCAATAGGGTAAACAATCAATGTGTTTCCATAGCAACAGAAAGAATAGCATGACTAAAACCAGCTAAATTTTGGGTCTGAACTGGTTTGTTGTAAAAAGTCTTGAAAACGCAGTCACTACTCCAACTGGCGGCTTTCATAACTGCAGGCATTGAGACATTACAGCTACGAGCCTTGCTAGCAGATGCTGCTCGCGTACTGTGCGGTTTTAATACGATGGTATCTACAACAGCCTCTTGCATCACAGTCCTTATCCATCTCGAAATAGTGTCTTTGGACACACCCCATGATGTGGCTTAGCATAACTAATAAACAGTTACTGCTCCTCTCCCCGTTATGAAGAGGTACGATCAGCGGTATTCATCAAGAACTCTTGCAACACATAACTTACTACGTATGGTGCACGATCCTCGCAGTAGATAGCGCTATTTATGTAATAGCGAAAATCAGACCTGAAAAAAAATCAGGCCTGTACGGGACTCGAACCACTGACCTCTGCGATACTAGTGCAGCGCTCTACCAATTGAGCTAACAAGCCAACTGGGAGCAGGCCGTTAAGTTGATTCGTAATAAACCCGTGAAAGTGATAAATGAGATACAATGAATATATGAAGTTCATATATTTTGAACTGCGGTGTTAGATACGTATGATGCACGATCCTCGCAGTAGATAGGTCTGATTTTCGCTATTGCATAAATAGCGCTATCTACTGCGAGGATCGTGCATCATACGTATCTAATACCGCAGTTCAAAATATATGAACTTCATATATTCATTGTATCTCACATAACTTACTATCAGCAACGAATCAAGCTATAAATATAACCGGCTGTTTTCTGCCAGGGGGCAGACTGTTTAACTATCTGCAAAAAAAGAGATGAAGTGTTTGACAACGCTGCCACATAAGATAACAAGTTTATGGGTAAGGTTCTGAAGACTGATCTCCTAACGAGGATGAAGTGTCTTACGGTAAGTAAGAAATATTGAAGTGTCCCAGGTGGTAGTTAAACTGGGGAGAGCTGGCCTTGTTTGGAAAACTCCTTTTAAGAACCTTTGAACGAGTTGGTGATTCCCAACAGTAACATCTCCACCAAGGACTATGAAGGAGGATAGGGCACTTCTTGCAGTTAAAGACAACTGTACCCAAAACCCCTTTCAAAGAGTTCTTGTAAAAACTCCAACACTGTTACAGGTGGGTGAAGGAGATCCACAGCCCCCCTATCCGTAAATAACTGCCACTTCTCAAGATAGACCCGGTATTGTTTTTGGATTGCTGTTTGCCACGAGTTGAGGATTGTGTCTTGAGTTGCTTGTGAAATTCCTCTACTCTAGAGGGATTTCCGGATAAGAGGCAGGCCATCAGATGAAACTGGCTGCCCAGGGGTGGCGCTGTTCTGGGTTGAAAGGTAGATGGACGTTGCTCGCATGTCTTGGCAAGAGGAGCGGCTTCCGAATCAAGAGTCTTGTTAGTTTGGGGTACCATGGCTGTGTTGGCCAATTGGGCGCAATCAGGATAGCTAGGGCTTGATCCATTTCCCGTTTCTGCAAAAATTGTGGTAGTAGGATGCTAAAGGGTGAAAGTCGTATAAAAAATGGGTAGTCCAATCCAGAGTAAAGGCATCAATTACCATGGCTTGTGGGTCAGGAAGCCATGAGACATAAAGTGTCAGTTGATAGTTTAACCGTGAGGCAAACATATCAATGGTTGGCGTTCCCAATATGTTTACTATCCTGTTGAAAACATCCACATTAAGTTGAATCATCAAAGACCCTGGATGCTTAGTCAGCAATAACACGGATTTCCCCCCGGAATGTAGTTTGTAGAAAGTCATATGTTTCTTGGGACGCACCACTCCTATATTTTTCTGGCAATTTGATTACATGGTAGGGAGTGACAACTCCCATTCTGCCTACATAATACATGGTAATATCCATCATAACTCTGATGTGGTCATGGGTCACTTCCTTACAAAGGGACTACAAACCTAAGAGAATCGCCTTTAGCTCCAAGTAATTAATATGGTGGCTTTCTTCTGAGTTGGACCACCGTCCTCCAGTTGTGGTGACGTTCAGGCTTGCACCCCACCCCTCTGGGTAGAGGCGTCAGTGTAACTTATCCTCCCATTATCAATCCTCCTCTTAGAGTTCAGGGCATTCCTGATCTACTAAGAAATATCGGCAGATACAAATTTGGATAAAGGCATAGTTTGTTCAAAACCCTCAGTTGCTAGTTTTAAGAGCTGCAACTTTTTCTATTTCTAGCTGACGATAGAAAAGTTCACCGTACTTTATGCCCGGGAAGCAGGAAACCATCATGCCAGCTAATTGCGCTACCTCTCCAATAGTGGGTGATTTGGTGTCAAGGATTCTTTGCGCTACAATTTGCAGCTTTTGATGCCTATCTTCTGAATTGGATACTGTCATATCCAGAGAACTTAAAATAAACCCTAGGAGATACAAGACCTGGGTTGGAATTGTCCCTGATTTGACTTCATAAGGCAAGAAACCCAAATCGTGAAACAGGGTTAGGGTATGATCAATATTGGCTTGGGACTCTTCAGGGGGTATCCTAATAAAAGGGAGTCATCAAGGTGGCCACTTGAGACATGTCCCAGCTCCCTGAGGAACGAAAACACAGGTTTCATAAGTTTGGTGAAGAAACGGGGCGTGGAAGAGAGCCCCTTAGCCAAGCATGTAAATTGTATAGGTTTCCCTTACACCCTCACAACATTCAAGATGCCGGGGACATCTGTTAATTGTTTTCATTTTTCCAAGAAAATGTGGAATTCTCCCAGCTACAACTGGAGAAGAGGTCTTGTCCCCCACAACGGATAAAAGAGGAAATTGACTTACAACTTCAGGGGTCACTTCTCCGTTACAGATTTCTTCCCCTTTGGAGGTGTTGTTCACGCCCCGGATGTCTTTGTGATTGAACTGGTAGTTGTTTTTTCTTCGGGGGTATCCCTCGTGGTGATTCTCCCGGCGATAGAATAAAAACCTGCCCCTGGCTGAATAGGAAGGCCTAGAATACTCCTCATTGCGCTTCCTCTTGTAGCCAGTGAGTTGTTTACTATAAGCTAAATTCGTACAATCAAGACAAGTAAGTTTAATTCTTTTGAGATTCATGCTTAAAATTAGTTTGTCACAAGATAACTAAAAAACAACTCGCTCCCCAGGAGAGACAGAACCAGATAAAATAAAAAAATTTAAAGGTTCTGACTTCAGATGTCAAGAATCATTCTATAATTAGTTTATCTCTCGCTCATGATACATCATGTGATTTTAAGCATTTTCCATTTAACTATCATAGAAATGGTTCCTTTTCTTGCTTGGAACGCATAAAAGCATAGGTTAATCTTGCTTTGCTGAATAAAACGGTTTAGGTATCATCATTTTCGGCTCACGTTTTTGAGTAGCGAGATTTATTGCGCGTCTTCATATAGCTTTAGCTAGAATTCAGTAAAATTACCTTTAATTATCCCGATTTACCCTATACAAATCTTCAACTTAAATCAAAGTGTCACATTGCAACTCAAGCCGAACCTTTCATGATCCCAAGTCAATATCTTAAATTGCATACATGAAGTGTTCGGCTACTTTTCGGCTTGACCATTCCTTGCATAGTTGATTGCCCCTGGCTTGGTCAGGAATGGCAGTTCTTCAGCGGTTTTTAAACAACACTGTGATTTAAAGTTCATACTATCGACTACATTACAAATGGAGTTCTCAAAGAATGTCATTGATCAAAAGATTTCTTCGATCATCAAACCATTTGTTCCAAAAGAATTTCATCATGGCGTAATAAAAGGTGGCTTCTCCAGCATTGACCACTAAGATAACTGCCTGAAGGGCAGACGGAGTTCGATGAAAGTTGTTCACCCCTGTTACTTGGAAAGCTGCTTGGGTGGACATCAAGACGAAAAGGTATAAGTCCTCCACGATAAATGAAAGCAGAGTTAGCGAGTATGCCAAGTTCTTTACGGTGTCTCTGGGTTCCCTCCATGGTGCGGGTACCGTATTCCACAGATACCCTACCAGGGTCGTCGCAATCTCTCCGAGAATGAACAGAAATTCAATTGTTCTACTTATCCCAAATGGTTCAGTGCAGATGACGATAACGTTATAACCGACAGCGACCATCAACTGCGCGAAAAGCGACCAGAACCGGGCATGTTTCGAGTTGTTTCGAAGGGTAGAAAGATATCCTTCATAAGTCTGGCACTTTAAGGAGTACAAGAATAACAAGTACAGTATTGATAAACGACGCCACCTGCCAACTTATCTCCAGTTCGTTTGCGTCAGGGCCGTAGCTAGCATGAGGCAAGACGAGGCAATTGCGTCGTCTTGATTTCGGCCCTTTTTTAAATTTTCTTACTTGAAGATTGACGTTTCTGAAGAAAAATGCCACGAAAAATCCTTAAAAGGGCATTTCTGAACCTCTAGATTTCAAAATGTTCTGGGGGGCATGCCCCCAGGCCCCCCTAGCGGCTCGCGCCTTCGGCGCTCGAAAATTGCCTCGTCTTGTCCTGAAGTCTGGCTACAGCCTTGTTTGCGTAAGAAAAAATTGTGAAGTTTTGGCAGCGATAACTCGCAAGCTTTTCCCGAAAGAAGCAATCTGCATCGTTGCTTTGAGAGGTTTGCAGTGAACCCTGTTATAGAGTTGCGCTTTGGCATCTTCTTTTTATTTTCGTCTTATTCATAATTATTTTTGTTTTTTTACTTTTTAGAGGATTTAAAGCTCTGCACTTTTCTTCTGTATGTCACTCAACAGATTGTCTCACAGTGGGAATATCTAATCTCAGGTGTACCACAAGTTCATTCCCAGGGTCCTCTCTCTGCCTGGGACCAAGGTTGAGGTACCACTGCTCTTTATTTTAGGGCGTGTTCTCTTTGTACTGTCTGAAAATGACATTCCCAAAACTTTATTGTGAGTCTCACAGAATTTTAGTTAGTAAGCTTAGGAATGTGGATATCAATTCATATATACCAAACTGGCTCGTCAGTTTCATTAGGAATAGAAAGCAACGGGTTGTGGTAGATAACATCACTACTGAGTTTATAGATATAACCAGGGGTGTCCCCTAGGGGACGGTGCAAGGTCCAATATTGTTCTCTCTGATGATAAATGATATAAAGCCATTTAGCCCCTCTAGCCTATTGGTAAAATTTGCGGATGGTATCACAGTCAGCATCTCTGTTCGCGCTGAGGATGGCAACATAGCCGAGTCTGAAGTTAGTTCTATAATGGAGTGGGCTGAAAAGAATCAAATGACACTCAATTTGAATAAAACATCGGAAATGTTACTAAAAAGTGGTAGCCTGAAAGTTCCACCAGCTCCTCTCGCTATTGTGGAGCGTAAAACCAAGCTCAAGCTGCTTGGTGTTACATTTGAGGATGACCCCGTGAACTGGGACTCGCATATTGATCACGTGCTTGGTAAGGCCAGCAGTCGTATGTATATTATAAGAGTTTGTAGATTTTTTGGCTACCCTAAGGAACAATTAGATCGGCTCTTCCAAAGCCTAATTATTTCAGTCTTCACATACGCTATCGAGCTGTGGGGTTGCTGTTATTATGATAAATATCTTAAGAGAATAGACAAACTGTTTGCTAAGGCTTTTAAGTCTGGATATTGTTTGAAGAATTATAGTATTTGTGATATTTATTAGCCACCAGAGATAGCAAGCTATGGATCAAGAGCACTTCAAATATCATTGCACTTGATGATCTTTTACCGCCGAGACGTATTAGACAATTACGCAGCAGGGGCCATGATTATATATTACCTAGAGTTCGTAATTCACGTTTTAAATCCACTTTTGTAAATAGATGTCTTTTTAGCATATTCTACTCTTATTAGTTAGTTGTTTTTTCTTTCTTAATACGTTTTATATTTCATTCTTTGTAAATAATGACACGGTTGATGCATTATTGCTTTTAATAAAGACCATTATTATTATTTATTTATTTATTTATTTATCCTATTACACTGCACTTTTTCCTGACAGTACGCTACCATATAGCTCTAATTTTGTTCAGTAATACCGTTTCGGCCCTGTGAAGCTTATCTAAAATTAGTGAGTACAAGCTGGTGCTGGTCTTTCAAACTGAATGCTAATAAATGCAAATTTACGATATGGGAATCATCCGGTCAAGGAGAGAAACTACTTGCTCCTACAACATCAATCAATTCCATTGATGGAAGTATCCTCAAACAAACTAGTTTATAATCTCTGAGTCGGTTCAGATTCTATTACGTCAAGTTCTGCTCATGAAAAGCTCGGCTCACAAATCGCACCGGCTCACAAATCGCACCGTCGACAACCGTGGTGGATGCAAGTGAGGTTCTCAAACATTGTCATTGTCCAAAAGGTTTCTTCGATCGTCAAACCATTTGTTCCAAAAGAATTTCATCATGGCGTAATAGAAGGTGGCTTCTGCAGCATTGACCATTATGGTAACTGCTCGAAGGGCGGATGGGGTTCGACGAAAATTGTCCACACCTGTTACTTGGAAAGCTGCTTGCGTGGAAATCAATATGAAAAGGTATAAGTTCTCCACGATAAACAAAAGCAGGGTTAGCGAGTATGCCAAGTTCTTTACGGTGTCTCTGGGTTCCCTCCATGGTGCGGCTACCTTGTTCCACAGATACACTACCAGGGTGGTCGCAATCTCTCCGAGAATGAACATAACCTCAATAATTTTATTTACTCTGGATGTTTCTGTGCAGATGACGATGATGTTGTAACCAACAGCGACCAACAATTGCGCGAAAAGGGACCAGAACCGGGCATATTTCGAGTTGTTTCGAATCGCAGAACGATATCCTTCATAGCCTGGTACCTCTCGGAGTACAAGAATAATAAGTACAGTGTTGATAAACGATACCACCTGCCAATTTATCTCTAGTTCTTTTGCGTAAGGAAAAATCGTGAAGTTTTGGCAGCGATAGCTCGCAACCTTTTCGCGGAAGAAGCAATCTGTAGCGTAAATGGTGTACAGCACCAAGCTGATGAATCGCCATATCAAAATGCCAAAATATATAAAAATGGGAGCAACATTGAGAAAAACTTGCAGGTAGCGGTATCTTCTGTTCGTTTCATTTCTACTGTTATTCCTCCTATTCTCATTTATCTGAATATAGCATATATCACCCGCCATACTCATCAAAACGAAAAATTTAAGCAACTCAACGCTTGTCAATATTATTATTTTCAAGTGTTTCTAGAAAAGATGAAAGCATATGCAAAACGCAATTTAGGGGAATACCCTAAAGGGTAATCCCGGAAATTGTGTTTTCGCTTTTTCGGAACAGAAGACCGTAATTCGAGGTCGAGTGTTGCGACTGCGATACCTTGAAGGGGAGAATAGTTTATTGCATGCACTGTTCTTCGTTACCCGAAAACTGAAATACAGGTCTTACGGTTTATACGTATATCATTACTTTTAAAATGATAGACAGCAAGCGTAAAATACATTGACGGTTGATATGTGGTTAAATTTTGAATATATTTGCATATAGTTCAGATCCGGCTGTAATAGCACTTTCTGCTCTAAACGAAACGAATTCAAGATTAAAGAGAGTGAGTTTCTAAGAAAGAAAAACAGGTGATGGGTCCGTGGGGGATAATCAACAATTATTGGATGAGGTTGAGTATGAGAGCGATAATTATCAAGGCCAAAGTTTGCTATCTGCCAAAGCCGAAGGCTGAGGCGGATAACACAAACTGAGGCTTTGATAGTTATCGCTATCATACGAAAACCGAATCCAATAATTGTTTTTGATTTGGCCAAAATATCACTGCGATCTGATGATCAGTTCTCTTTAGGTTATAACGTCGTAATGTGATTAAATATAAATATCCTATGCTAAATTAGAAGATCATATCAAGATTTTCAACAGCCTCGCAAGGTAATCAAATAAGTTATGACTTCTGAACCTTAAGACAAATATTTTAAAGAATTATTTTTGGTACAGGAATTTCAATGGTTGGAACTCCCTACCGAACGATAGTGTCAAGGAAGCGAATGTTGATAAATTGAAGAAGCTTCTTATGGTCTAAGCATGTAAGTACTCCCTTCCATTTATTGTCATTAACAAGTAAAAAAAAAAGAAGTGCACTTTTTCCTTGAAGTATATTACTGAGAATTTTATTTGTGAATTTCATACTGATACCGTCTTATCTTTTTTTTTTTTTAAATTATGATTAAAATTGGAGTTTATTCTTAGGTCTGGGGGTCAGCTAATACGAAGATTAGGTTCGTTCCTTGCGGCACCCTTGTTTCATTTTGTAAATATCTTTCTAATGCAAATAAAGTTGTCGTTAATCATAGATTATTTTGCCTCCAGGAACATTCAACTTTGTCTGAGTTGGCCACGAGTCGAGTGGGAAAGGCCCAGTTAACTACACTGATTACCAATCAATTTTAACCCGTAGGTTATCATTATTTACTGATGCCTTCCTTAATTTGTTAATTTTTGTGTTAGTCAGTCATTGAGTTCGTTATGCTTGTCTCCTTAGGTAGTCAGTCGTTGCAACCGTTTTCAAACACTCTTTTCAGTTACTATTCGAGTCACTCAAAAACTTATCAGAGAACATGTCTAGTCACATTTTGACTGCGACTTATGCCCGGGTTTAAACGCCAAACTTCCCATGAAGCGTGATTTATAGGCGTCTGAATAAACAGGCGAACTTTCTTCTGAAGTTGGTTTGGGTCAAATTCGAACCAAACCAAACCTGGTCTGCTGATTTCTCGACCACAGTTTCGCTCTATTCTTACCGTTGACCTCTGATGTAAATGGAGTACTCAAACATGGTCATTCATGACATAGCTTCAAACTTTTTCTTCAAGTCTTACCCATATAGACTACCCGATATTGCCTCCGCGAATGTAAGTAAAACCGTCTTTTCACCATGGAAAAGCCTTGTTTACTAAATCAATCAGTCAATCACATTGTAACCTAAGCTCAGTTTAGACACCGAACCTTTCATGACCCCAAGGTAATAACTTGAATTACGTACATAACGAGTTCCGCTTCTGAAGTCGATTAAGAATGGCTACTTAATTCAGTGTAATTGGAACAGCTCGACCGTTCTTCCGCTCAGGCTTGGTCGGGAAAGTTAACTCTTGCAACGGTTGCAGTTCCAGACGGCTGAACTTTCCATTTACTGAATCAAAGGCACAAGGTATTATGACGTATTTTGAAGGAGTTTTCTTGAACCTGTCTTGTGCACTGCCATAAACAGCTAATTGAAGTCGCCATCTGAATCAAGAGGTCTCCTTTATTCAATTTAAGTCGGTTCCAAGAGATTGGAAACTAGTTGATAATCTCTAAGTCAGTTCAGATTCTAATCGGTCAAGTTCTGCTGATGAAAAGCTCGCCTCACAAATCGCGCCTTATTTACTAATTTGTTGAAGAACTGTAGTTTTATTCATAGCGTCGACTACCCGTGACCGATGCAAATGAGGTTCTCAAACATTGTCATTGATCAGAAGATCTCTTCGATCGTCAAACCATTTGTTCCAAAAAAATTTCATCATGGCGTAATAAAAGGTGGCTTCGGCAGCACCCACCACTATAGTAACCGCCTGAAGGGGAGATGAGGTTCGCCAAAAATTGTTCACACCTGTTACTCGGAAAGCTGCATGTGCAGTATCCAAACCAAAAAGATATGAATTCTCGAGGAAGTGTAAATGCAGAGTAAGCGAGTATGCCAAGTTCTTTACGGTGTCATTGGATTCTTTCCAGGGTGCGGGTACAGTATTCCACAGATACACCACCAGGGTCGTCGCAATCTGTTCGAGAATAAACATAACTTCAATAATTTTACTAACTCTAGATGTTTCTGTGCAGATGGCGATGATGTTGTAAGCAACAGCGACCAACAACTGCGCCAAAAGCGACCAGAACCGGGCATGTTTCGAGTTGTTTCGAAGAGCAGAAAGATATCCTTCATAGTTGGGCACTTTCCGGAGCACAAGAATAACAAGAACAGTGTTGATAAACGACACCACCTGCCAACTTATCTCCAGTTCGTTCGCGTGAGGAAAAATTGTGAAGTTTTGGCAGTGAAAACTCGTAAGCTTTTCGCGGAAGAAACAATCTGTAGCGTGAACGGTGTACAGAACGAAGCTGATCAGACGCCATAAAAGAATGCCAAAATAAGTCAACATAACGGCAACCTCAAAACCAACATGACGATTCGTCTTTACTCTCCTCATATCTTCCCGTATCAGAATGTAGCCGGTTGTGTCCGCCATTCTGATTAAGTCGAACACGTTAGGCAAGTGGATGCTCTCAATCGCTCAATTGTATCGTGTTTGAAGTGCGATGCAAACGAGATACGAGGAATACCAAAGCAGAAATGCACAAGTCGAAGTCGAATATTGGGCTGGAGTACAAAGCCGCGCAGGCGAGAATGGTTTTATGTATCCACCAAAGTTTGTCTTCGCTCACCGGAAACTGAAATAACCCCGACGTTTAAACGTAGATGGAAAGCGTAAGATATCTTCAGTGTCGGTACGGAAGTAATTCAAAACACTTTCTCTAAAGTTCAGTAGAGGGAGAGCAGAAGATATCTTCAGGGTCGGTACGGAAGTAAATTTTCATAACACCTTCTCTAAAGTCGGTTCAGTAAGGAGGAAGAGAGTATGATAACTTCAGGGTCGGTACGAAAGTAAATTTTCAAAACACCTCTAAAGTTCAGTAGAGGCAGAGTGTCAGAGAACTTCAGGGTCGGTACGGAAGTAAATTTTCAAAAAACCTTCGCTAAAGTTCAGTAGAGGGAAATTAATTTAATTTAACATAATTTATATAGCGCTAACTCCACTAATTGACCAAAGCGCTTTACAATTCATAATATTAAAATAATTAAAAAGGTCCCACTGGTAATAAAATATGAATAAATTGAAAACCTATTTGCAGACTTATTTATAAAAATATCACAGTAAATCCTATTCCAAATTATCAAAAAGTTAAACATTATATGCTTTTTTAAAAAGATCAGTCTTTAAGTGTTTCTTGAATAAATTAAGTGTATCTAAACTTCTAAGATCTAATGACAGCTCGTTCCAGAGTTTAGGTGCAGCAACGGAAAAGGCCCTGTCGCCGTATGTTTTTAAGTCTTGACTTCGGAACTGCCAGAAATTTTTGATCGGTAGAGTGTAGCGTACGTGAACATGAACAACAACTAAGTAATTCTGTGATATATAATGGTGCCATACCATTTAGGGCCTTATAAACTAACAATAAAACTTTAAAAAGAATCCGAAAGTGAACAGGGTCGGTACAGAGGAAATTATCAAAACACCATCGCTAACGTTCAGTACATTCCAACACTTTCTAATCTATTCCACTTTCTAAACTAATCTCTACAAATGAGTTTAAGACATTTTATGGGCTAGATCCGTGTATTAAAGGTAATTCTATCGATTTTCATGACTCTCACTTCAAAGAGACAAGGCGACAGTCTTCCGATCAAATAAAGACCACATAAGAACCAAAGTCAACTTCGCCGCCTATTATTTTGGTAACCACTGAACTACAACTCATCACGACCGTTTCTGAGAAGGAATTCATCTAAAATCTCCATTTTCACGGCGTGAGGGGCTTGTTGCGTAATCCACATTCTTTCGGCTTATAAAGGCTGGGTTTTCCAGGTTGATGACCTGTTTGACAACTGGTTGTCTTTGGAACCACGTCCACACACAGAACAAATTTGACGATGATTTTGCACACCCAGCAGGTGACATACAGAAGCCAATCACATAAACGACTTGATGCATTGTAGCACAGAATGTCGCTTTCTGTATAATATCTGCACTTGCATCCATCGGCGTTAAACTAAATGTCATTTGGTGCGGCAGTCACAAAGTACGGAATGTGTGCCAGTAGTTCCACGCCAGTAATGGTATCGTATTTGGTCTGAACATAGAAACGAACAAAAATAAAATCATATTAGTAAGCCTCCTGATAGAGCAGTTTTAAATTGAGCGTCGAAGGAAACTGACATCATGACATTCGTTTTCTCTTAACGACGCAATATCCACCAACATAAATAACTGCGTGAATCATTTGCAAAGCTCTCATTCAGTGGAGAGGAACGAGTGAACTTCATTCCCCTAAGTGTCTTTCCCGTTTGCCCCAGTTTTTCGCTCGTTTGTCTCTACAAACTGCCTGGAACAGGAGAAACTACTCAAAGTCACGATTCCACTAAAAAATCGCAAAAAACCTCCATCGAAAGAGAAACAGTCCAGGCGGCTACAAAGCTTCGAAACTGACTCAGGCTGCAGATGCATGTAAGAAGATTAGTCATAAACAACAAAGGCCTCTCTGCATTTGACTTCAGAAAACAATTACGTTAGTAACACGTTCAGTTGGTAGATTATTCAAAAACATAGCTCACCTTGTTCACATTACTAAGAACCTTCTGCATAGTAAAGGATCCCGGATGAACATTAAGAAGAGAGGCCAGCATGTTCTGGAGAAAACATCACGTGGTGTAAGATAAACAAAAACAACTTTCCCCAATTTGGTCTCTGTTCTTTGTAGGTCTTAAAATATTTTACCTCAAAGGACTGCATGTCTATGGTCCCGCTCTGCTTTTTGTCAACTTTGCTGAAAGATTCCTGAAGAAAGGTGAAATAAATTATGTCTCGTTTAGGTTTAGTGAGGCGGTTTATGCTGTTAACGAATAAAATCTGTAACCATCGAGTACTAAAAAAAAGCCCGTGTTCTATGAGAAAAAGAAATATCTTCGTTTACTATAGTAACGAAATGAACTCATTCCCAGCATAGAGCATTCAGCTCGCTTTTATCGGTGCTTTGTCACAAATCCCGACGTGCGCCCGAGAGAGGGCGTGTCATGTGGCGAGGCTAAACAGCTGCAAAGGAAGTAAGAACTAAAATGAGCCACAGAACATGTCTTTTTGGTATAGAAATTGAACCGAAGGTGGGCTGAACTCCGGTTGCTTTCAAAGATCTTGAGTACCTCGCATGGCTTGTGTAGTTTCCTTTCTCACGAGTGGAATCACTCTTTGAGTCACGATCGGAGGATTAAAACACCTCTATCAATGCATGCGCAGTTAAAGGCAATTTATAGATTCTCAAGTCTTTCATTGACGTATGTATACGGGAATCCTTGTTTACAATATTTGCCTCATTAGCATAAGCAATTCAGTTTCAC